GTTATTATTATTATTATTATTATTATTATTACTACTACTACTACTACTACTATTATTATTATTATTATTATTATTATCATTGTCATTGTTGTTATTATTGTTATTACTATTATTATTGTTGTTGTTGTACTATTGTCGTTTATAATTTGTACAATTAACCTCCCTATGGTTCGACCCCTATCTTGCCGGGTTATTTATTACTTCGACACTCCTGCACTTGGGAGAAGACATCAAACTTTTAGTCGTGTCATAATTATAGTTTTGATACTAATAATGACGATGATGAAAATGATGATTCAGATGAAGAAGGTGAGTTATTTTGGGAAAGGGAGTTCGATAATCAGAGATTGATTTTATACACGGCAGGTGCCATAGCTTTATATTATAATACTTATACATATAAGGAGCCTTGTATGGATTTGTACAACACTGGAATGCAATGGTTGATAGAAATATTACATAGACATTGGATGCGCTGTGTAAACATGTTTAGGATGGATGCGACAACATTTTAGAGTCTGTGCTTTATACTTGAAAACCATTATGGGTTAAAGGCATCTAGAAGAATGTGTGTTTTTGAAAAAATTGGAATATTTCTTTATACAATAGTTTTGGGTGCTTCCAACAGGGAAGTTCAGGAGCGATTCCAACATTCAGGAGAAACAATTAGTAGGTACTTTAATGAGGTTCTTAGATCAGTTTGTTTGCTCGCTATAGATTTAATTCAACCTGCAAATCCCGGGTTCGTAAACATACCAGGGGAAATTATGAATAATCTGAGGTATATGTCACATTTCAAGGTAATGTTGTTAATCGTGTTTGTTAATGGTGATTCATATTTCATGAATTTGTGAAATTTAATTTTTTTGTCAGCTCAAATTGATGTTATTTTGTTGGTTTATCGTATATTAGAATTGTGTTGGAGCTATTGATGGTACACATGTCCGTGCACGTGTTTCTTTTGAAAAGCAAATCCATTTATCGGCCGAAAAGGTGTGCCGACCTAGAATGTTATGGCTGCATGTAGCTTTGACATGCAATTCATATTTGTTTCGGCGAGTTGGGAAGGAAGTGCATATGATACACGAATTTTTCTCGAGGTAATTGACAATCCATGTATAAAATTTCCTAAGTCACCAGAAGGTAGTAATATGTGTATGTGTGTGTGTGTGTGTGTATGATAATTAATGTTATTTTGTTTTTTTTTTAATTTTCAGTTTAAAACAATTATATGTTTTTCCAGGGAAATACTACTTGGTTGATTCGGGATATCCTAATGAATATGGATTTTCAGGTCCATATAGAGGTCAAAGATATTATTTGCAAGAATTTAGGAGGTAAGGACAACCATAAACTTGTGAAGAAATTTTCAACTATATGCACTCTTCATTACGTTGTGCGATAGAACGAACATTTGGAGTTTGGAAAAAAAGATGGTGAATCCTACAGAATATGTCATCCTATAATTACAAGGCACAAGTTCAAATTGTTGTCACATCCATAAGAATTTATAGTTACATTAGAAGAACTTCAATGCAAGATGTGGCATTTATAGAGTTCGATCGCCATCCTGATTTTGTGCCCGGTGATTTTCTAATTGATGTGGCTTCATATTCACAAAGCCAAGAACACCAAAGACCTTCATGAATGAATTACGTACATAATAGGGTTGCTACAAGTTTAATGACATAATTATAAATTATTGCTCTAATATGTTTAGGTCTATTTGCAAACATTTATTGGTTGTAATGTAACTTCATTAATATTATGCATTAAGTCCTTTCAGGTAATTATACAATAAAATGAAATTGAACCACAATTTCTAACCAAACACATTAAATAACTTTTTTCTTAACCTTAATTTCAACAAAGTTTTAAACAACACATATATTTTTTCAAATCAATCTCAATTAAAAGCACTTTTTATGAAACTACTTTTTTCAAACCACAACCGCAATAGCTACCACAATACCAAACACACTCTGCATGGTGAACGAAAACAGTGCAATAACTGTTTTTCTCTCCTATAAAAAAATTATTTGTTGCTAAAATAGGTTTTTTTTTTATAAAATCTATTAGGTATTATTAGATTGATTATAGATGTAAAAGTCTTTTCATATTCTCAAGACACGATAAAATTCTTAGTTGCCCTTAAAATAAAATAAATATTTAACTAGAATGTAGGGTTTTCTAGTATTTTTTTTCTATTTAAAAGCACACCAAAATAATTAAATTGCTTTTAGAAGTAAAAATTATTTAAGTGATATCATTATTCCAACTTCCAACTATGGTTTTTTGGTTGATATCAATTTGATCATTAAAAAATTAGTATTTTAATAAATTTTAAATATAATTTAAAAGGAAAATGAATGGTATACCAATGAGTTGAGAGTTGAGATTCCTTTATTAACTATGAATTTAGAATTTTATAGGTTATAGGTATGAGAAATTAACCTAGATTTAGAAGATTTGTTTAGGTTTGCTTGATTTTTTTTCATTCTTTTAAGCATGTGTTTTTTCAATTTAAACCTTTCGCACTTATTTAACTCGGTATCCAACTTTATTGTTTTTTAAATTGCTTTCTATAGGAATTTTTACTAATTTTAAAAATAACTTGAGTTATCTCGAGTCTTTTATTTATCATTATTTGTTTAATTTATTTTTTAAAAAAATATTTTTAAATTAAATGAACTTAACTGATTAAATATAAACATTAGATGCTAACTTTTTTATTTGTTTTATTTGTTTTTTTAATTGTTGTTCTGACAATACATGTAATCTCTTCTAGTATCACCTTGTAACTTTTTATAGTGAAATTAGAACCATTTTAGTTAATATTTTTTGTGATTGGGTGGGACAATGTTCACAATGGAGTGAGAGTAAATCTTTAATTACAAGTATGATATTGCATATTTATTTTTTATAGTTAATTATTGTTAATTTTTTATTGTTAGGTTTATTTTATTATCAATATTTTTTTAATTATATTATTAAATTATTCAAGTTTATTTAATAACTTTAAGTCATTAATTGAAGTCTCGTATTTTTCTTGTTTCTTCAGAAACGTTAACATTGTTTAACATCTAGTTATTATTATGTGATAAAGAGACAAAGACAATAAGGATAAAAAATGTGTTTAGTTAAAGAAATAAAAATAGAAATATAAAAATAATTTTTTTTATAAAAAAATTTTAAAGTAAATTTTTGTACTTTTAAAACAAGAGGTATAATATATCTGGAGACAAAATTTTTGTACTTTTAAAACAAGAGGTACAATATATATGGAGACAATATTTATTATTTTTTATTCATAAAATATCATTTTTAAAAACTTTCCTTTTCAAAATTATACAACCAAGACGTGCAAATATAAAATAGTTATTATTATAACTTTAAAATTTATCTTGATTGTCGATTCAGGGGAAAGCCTGAGTCATTGGTCGGGGCTTAGGTCACATATCATGTTGACACGAGTTAATATAAGATAGAAATGGTTATTATTGTAATTTTAAAATATAATTTGGGGGTCAATCCAGAAAAAAGCTCGGGTTTTCAGTGAGGTTGATCATTGACCTAGATTAATGTATAAACAAAAATAGTTATCATCATAGTTTAAAAAATTAACTAAAAGATCAACTTGGAGCAAAACTCGAGTCATATGACAAAAGAGTCAACACAAAATAAAAATGATTATTATTATCGTTTTAAAACTTAATTCAGGAGTCAATATAGGATAAGATTTGGTTCAATGTAATGATAAAATTTGTTATTTTTATAGTTTTAAAACCAACTTAGTGGTTGATAGATGCAAGACTCACATTACGAGACAGAAGGTCAACTGAGTTAATATATAGATAAAAATAATTATTATTTTAGTTTTAAAATTCGACCTGGAAATTGACTCTAAGCAAGGTTTAGATTATAAGTCAAGATGGTCAACTTGGTTAACCCAAATTTTTATTTTTATATAATTAAAACAACCCTGTCTTTGCTAATTTTTTTAAAAAATTCAACATGTTTTTTATACATGGTTTATCTAAATTGACTTGAGTTTTTGACTATATAACATTGGGGCAATTCTTCTTTTTTTTTTCTTAGACTTAAACTAGTTCAGACCCTGGGTCAACTCGTCAATTTAGTCATAGTTTTATAATTAAAGTTATTATAATATTATTAATTTCAATACTTAATATAAACTAAAATAAAAAAATCTAATTATTTTTTAAAATATATAAACTTCACAAATAAAATAATTTTTTTAGATTTTATTTTATTTATCTTGTGCATGGGCGCATATAATAATATCAAAACACACACATATATAAATTTATATTATTTTATACTTAACTATCAAATATAATTATAATTTTATTTTATATCTCATGAAAGTCTTTCATGAAATAATATCAAAACACTAACTCAAAACATTTTTTTAAGTTAAGAAAAAATTGACCCAGACCACTTACTGATTTGGTTATTTGTTAAAGGAGCTCAATCCGAGACTTGAATTTGATGATTGAGTGATAAATCATGGATTAGGTTTTTGGTTACGGTAGTTTAGAAAGTTGGGCCCTTCTAAGGCTTACCTGAGTTGTGTTTTTTCATTTGAGTTTTTTACATGATCATGCATATCTGTTTTTAATTTTAAGATATTAAAGCTTTTGTTTTGTATTTGTTTTTGTGTTTGATTCCCAATGATCAACTAAGACCTTTTTTAAATGTAAGTTTTTAAATACAAAGGCTTTAGACGTTGATTTAATCGTTTTTACCTACATTCGTGAACAAAAATGTAAATAATGATCGTAAATTGTAATAATTGTGGGTTTTTTATGAGTCCATAGCTGTTGTTGGTCATTAAAAGCTGTTTGAGAATTGAAGTTGAGATTGTGAAATGGCTGAGTTTTGGTGTTCATCTGTTGTGCAGTTGACTAATAATGTGAAGCCATCGTGGGCTCCTTCTAATTTCAACCAAAATTGGGCTGGTTTTTCAAGAGCTTTCAGGTAGCTTATTAAGTTTTTGGTGTTTGTATTTGTTTCAATTTTCCGTTCTTTTTTATTTGCTCAAGTATTGGGTGTGTCCTATTCTGTGTAGTGCAAAACCTGCAGGTGGAGATTTTATTGGTATTGATTCGGGTACAACGAATTCATGTGTTGCCTTTATGGAAGGGAACGTAAGAATGGGATTTGTTCTAATTGTTTATCTATTTGGTTGTTATGAGGCTTTCTTTTCCTTATTAATTCCTTGACTCTGTACAGAATTCCAAAGTTATTGAGAATGCTGAAGGATCTAGGGCAACCCCTTCAACTGTTGCCTTCACCCCAAAGATAGTAGCCGGGATCTTTGGAAAGAGCCCGAGCAAGGGAGTTAACCCAGACGAGGCAGTGACTATGGGAGGTGCAATTCAGGGTTGAATTTTAGGTGGAGATTTCAAAGAATTGCGTCTTCTTGGTGTCACTCCCTTGTCACCTGGTATCAAGACACGGGTGAGCCTTCAGTGCCAAATCTGTATTCAAATATTGATAAGAATTTTAAATGTGGGCAATAAGTTGCCACACCTGTGCTAGTATCTATGCGGCCCTTTGTTTGTGATATTTGTCTGTTCTTTGTGGACCTTTGCACAGTTATATACTTGTCTGATACATATTCCAGGTTTTCTCCACAGCGGCTAACAACAAGAGCCAGGCTGCGGGTATTCCACCAGTTCCAAGGGGCATGTCTCAGATTGAGATGACCTCTGACATTTATCAACATAATACCATGCATATCCTTCGTCCATTGTCTCCTCATCTTCCTATTTATAGGCCCCAGGTTAATTCGACGTTTTCCATTGTCAATAGAATCTCAGGGGCTTTCCTATCTACTATAGTTCTGTGTTTTTATTTTATTTGTCTGAAAACGGGTTTCATTTGCTTCAACTATTATAATTTCTACCAGTTCCTCTTTTATTCATCCAAGCTGATCCTAACCTCTGTCGATGTTACTGCTGCCCTTGCCCTGGCCTATCATCTTTTTTACGGGGTTCGTCATTTATTTCATTGACGGATTTCTCTCATTTTCTCGAATAAGGAATCCTCAAATCGAAAAGGGGTCCCATTTCCCTTCCTGCTGAAAGGGGCAACCCTTCTCTTGATATCCGGTGTAGGGGGGCTTCTCAAATTGAATGTATTAGTCTTTTTGTTCATGTGAAAACCGCCTATGGTTGCTATGGCTGAGACCCTTTTTTATTGAATCAATAACCATTTTATTCTGGAAGGAGATTGCTTGTTCATTTGACAACTGCCTATCAATATATTGAGGCTGAGGCCCTTTCATTGCTGTTGTTGCTCACTTGCTCCACTCTGTGGGTGGAGAACTAGTTGAACCTGCTCATTGCTATTCTCTAGTTCTGTAGAGAAGAAGTGGGGGCTGCGTGTCCCCAGTTGCTTGTAATGATAATGAAATGTTAAACAGGAAAAAAAGTAACAATTTGCTGTTTTTACCACTCAAGAATATTCTCACAGCTACTTGTTTGATGCTTAAACTTGCGATGGTAGATGAACTGATAATAAGTTTGTAACTTCAGCTTATCCTTAACTTGTCTGGATGAACCGTCTGTGTTGGACGAGCGCGTGAGGGCACATCAATTGTTTCCAAGATTGGCAGGCAGTTTTCTTAGGGAGGTTGCTAGAGGATTGCACGATAGTATTTTTTATTAGTAGCTGTATTTTCGAGTAAAAACTAAATGCAATTAAAAAAGTTACTACTAAAAACAAAAACATTAGAAGTATTGTTTTTTTAAATAAAAATTAATGATGATTTGAAACTCGAAGGAAAAATAAAATAAAAATTAATGAGAGAATTATGTAAGAAAATTAAAATAACAAAATAGGTAATTTATCTTCAATGAATATTAATGAGCATACTCTTTTAAAAAAAGGAAAATTAGGTTAATATATGATAATTCACCAAATAATTGTTAATATTACAATAAAAACTACATGATAAGCTTGTTCAATTTTTTAAATTTCATTTGTTCTGAATGTTGCCATGCACCTGAATCTAGGAGTATAGGCTTGCGTGCCTAGCTCAAAATAAAAAGGCCCGACTGGCCATGATTTTTTTTTTTAATGGTGTCCTCTTTTTTAAAAAAAAAAAATTAGATGGGTGAAATGTCCTATTTATGACAAACAACAACGTATTTTTTAAAAATTTTATATATAAACACTTAAAAATATAAATAAATTTATTTTAATTTTAAAATTCTCTATAATTTATTTAAAAATTCAAAATTAAACCAAATAAAAAATAAAATATAAAAACCCTTTTCAACGAGAGCACAGTTCCACCTCTATGAAAAATGTAGACTTGGTCGTGTATTTAGCATTGATAGTCGTACATATATTCGATCTAAAATGCAAACAGGGTGCTTGTTTGGAGTTACCGTGTGAATTGAATTAAAATTACATAGTTAAATTATTTTTTATGAATTTAAATTTCAAATTAAATTCAATTTCTTTAAAAAATACATAAAAGCAAATCGCGAAACCTTCTAGTCTGATATGATATTCCAAAAAAATCTTTATGAACACAAACCCTAATTTTTACAAAACCTCCCTATTTTTTTTTTAAATTTGATTAGTTAAAAAATAATATAAATTATATTTTGAGATTTTATATAATAATTTAAGTTATTGAGTTGAGATGATTTCTTAATATGGTATCAGAGAATCTGATTAATCAAATAGTTTTAAGTTTGAATCTTACTATTTCTATTTATTTAATAAAAATTAAATATAAAGTAATATCAATTTATACAAGTTTTATTTATCATTTAATAAATTAAATTATTGAATTAAAATGATTTCCGGTAGACCACCAAAATACGAGAACTGTTCGTTTTTTTTCAGTAATAAGAATATTTTTTAAATTTCATTTGTTCTGAATGTCGCCATGCACCAGAATCTAGGAGTATAGGTTTGCGTGCCTAGCTCAAAATAAAAAAGCCCGACTGTCCATGATTTTTTTTTTAATGGTGTCATCTTTTAAAAAAATAAATTAGATGGGTGAAATGTCGACAAACAACAACGTATTTTTTTAAAAAAAATTATATATAAACACTTAAAAATATAAATAAATTTATTTTAATTTTAAAATTCTCTATAATTTATTTAAAAATTCAAAATTAAACCAAATAAAAAATAAAAACCTTTTTCAACGAGAGCACAGTTCCACCTCTATGAAAAATGAAGACGTGGTTGCGTATTTTGCTTTGATAGTCGTACATATATTCGATCTAAAATGCAAACAGGGTGCTTGTTTGGAGTTACCGTGTGAATTGAATTAAAATTACATAGTTAAATTATTTTTTATGAATTTAAATTTCAAATTAAATTCAATTTCTTTAAAAAATACATAAAAGCAAATCGCGAAACCTTCTAGTCTGATATGATATTCCAAAAATATCTTTATGAACACAAACCCTAATTTTTACAAAACCTTCCCATTGTTCTTTTCCTTCTTCTTTTTTTTTTAATCTTAATTTGTTAAAAAATAATATAAATTATATTATAAAATTTTATGTAATAATTTAAGTTACTGAGTTGAATTTATTTCTTAATATAATATTAAAGTCTGGTTAATCAAATAGTCTCAAGTTAAAATTTTATTATTTTTATTTATTTAATAAAAATTAAATATAAAATAATATAAATTTATATAAATTTTATTTGAACTTTTATTTATCACTTAAGAAATTAAATTATTAAATTAACATGATTTTTTAACCTTTTCTCTCGGTAGATGGAGGATCCAAGTTTTACCACCAAAAGATGGCTTCTACGAGAACTGTTCGTTTTTTTTTTCAGTAATAAGATTTCAGTAACATGTAGAGTATTCATTGATTCAGTGCATATTCATTTAGAAACTGACGGTGCAGATCCTTCTAACTATCAAGGGTCGCATCTCTTGGGCGTTGAATTTGGTGGTTTCAGGCCTGATGAAGATCAGTTTACCGGTCCTCGCATTAGAATTTATTCAGGCGACTCGTGGATGAGAAGTTTCACCCACGTCTTGCGGCAAATCGCAAATCGAGTAGGACAACGGGAGCTCTCTGTAACGATCCATCAGTTTCTATAAACTTGTATGCTTCTTCATTTACATCAATATACATAATGTTAATTCCTTTCGTTAGCTAGAAGCTGGAGTTCACCTCGCTGATTCAGGGCATGACGAAGGTGCGAATATCTGTTCATGTTAATGCTGATATGGGTTCTCCTTCTTGTTACTTTAAATAGAGGTGTAAATAGGTATCCACGGTTGGACTTCTCAGTATTTATACTTTATTTATTATTGATTATATAAAAAATTTAAATATTTATGAATTATCAATCGATTCTTGGATATGTTATCTATTGTTATTAATCATTCAATAAAAAATAAAATAGTTATTATATATATAGTTTATTTTATGTCCATATTAAGATGAGTATATGTCATAATATATTTTTTAAAAAATCTAAATTATCTATAAATATATCTATATAATATAAATATATATTACAAGTTAGGTTCGGGCGAGACTCAAATTGAGTTTAATAATATCTATAATTTATTTATTATCCATCAATATTTTTGAATTGGGTTGAGTAAAGTTAATATAGATTGAAGTTAAATTATCATATTTAATTTAAATTAGACAAGAAGGGAAGAAACCTATTTTGTTTTTTGAAAAAAAAGAATAGTAGTGGGTTGTGTTACTAAAATTTTAATTCAGTCAAACATGTGGAAAGGGATAAATTTTAACTGTCATCTTTTTGTTGATAAATATTTATTTTATTTAAGTTTGATTTGAGTGAAAGGTTATAATTTTTAACATGATATTTTTAGAATTTTTCTTCTCGATGTTCTAATAAAAAAAAATAGTTTTATATTTTTTTAACAAATATATATTTTTTGAATTTTTTTAATTAGAAAAATAATTTTTAAATCAAAGTAAAATATTCAAGATGGTTATTTCAATTTCATTTTCACTTGTATTTAAAATAATATACTTGAATTTAATTATGTAGTTTAATAATTTATTTTATACATAAAAATTATAATAAATTATCAATTGAATTCAAAATTATTTATGAATTGAATGCCACATGCCATTAACAAATTTCCACAATGCAATCATATTCCCTACCTATTTATAGTGTTTTTTTTTTATAATCTAGCTTATTTTGAATAAGTGACTCAGCAATATGCTATGGATCAAACCTTCTTTTATATAAAAAAAATCAAAACTCAAGTTATGATAGTGTTTTTAAAAGAGAAAAAAAATCACAGGAGTTGAATCATTAATTCAAATAGATTTAATAAACTCAATTAATTTAGTAATGTGGTTATTAAAAAAAAAAGGCAATGGCAAAACAAAAAAAATCATGACTAATAAAAAAAATATTTTTTAATATTATAAAAAGATACCTTCCAAATATTACTAAGAAGTCTCGACAATGTTACCTAATAACAAATGAAAAACTAAATAAGAATTGGATAATGTCATAAAAAGTAAAATGATAAAAAAAATAAAAAATAAAACCTCAATTACTAACAAATCAAACATTAAAAAATAGGTTAAAAAAATTAATTTTAAAAAAGGATAAAAAAACCTAACTCTAACAAGCAAGTGAAACTCGGTGTTCCTTTGTGAGATCATAACAACTCTATACAAAAATATTTAAGGTAAACTCTGGAGAAACTTAGATAATAAAAGGCAAAACAAAAAATAATTAATAAAAAAAATAAAAAACTTTAAATATATCTAAGTTAACTTGATTAATCCATTGTCTAAGATATGATATTGAAATAACCTTGTAAAAAAAAAAAACAACAAAAATCATAAAATTAAAGATTTAATAACTTAATGTTAAATGATAAATTAAAAAATAATTTTAAAAAACTCTAAAATAATAAAGTTAATTTAGACTATTCTTTGAAACATGTGACTCATGTCACAAGAACGAGTTATTTTGTAAAATGCTAACTTAAAAAAATCACAAAATGAATTTTTAATTATCTAAAATAAAAATAATAAAAAAATAGTAATATAAAAAGATAATGATTAAATTTTATATAAAATAAAATAAAAGTGCGAGTGATAAAATTAAAAATTAAAATAAATCATGAAAAAAAAATGAAAAACAAAAAAATTACAATAAAAAAATAATTGGTGAATATAATATATGAAAATATTAAAAGATAAAATTGAAAAAATATAATTTTATAGATTATTTTAAATAAAAAATAGTAATAAAAAAATAATCAAGTACGGAAGAAAAACGAATTAAAATGCTGCATTGAAAAATTTAAAAATTTGGCATGAAAATTGAGGAGAAAGGAAAAAGAAAAAGGAAAAAAAATAAAAATGTTATTAACAAACCAGAGGTTCATTAATTATACACATCATCCAGTGACGGCTAATGAGATTTCAACACTACCTTGAAATAATGAGTTCGTCAATTACGAGATTTTATATGCGCCGCTTGCAATGCACATGTATTTCCCACACGTTGACACATGAGCACACAATAATTATTTTTTTAAGAATATTTGTTTATATTAAATTATCAAATTACCTCTCTATTTTTTTATTATAATAAAAAAAACATAATGAAAAAACACTGAGGTAAATTTTGATTTTAAAAGCAATTAAATCACTTTACTGTTTTGAAAAAATTAAAAAGAATAAAAAACCACGAACAAAAGGTTAATATTTTTTGCTTTTAAAAAATAATGAAGTCATTTTACAGGAAAAAAAGGCGAGCAAAACAGAGTTAGAACCTCAGCAAAATATTATTTTGCTCTCGAGCACTTCGTTGGCTTTTACCATTTTGTACAAAAATATCATTACAATACAACAATGAATTTCAACGAGTCTCTGTCCACATTTTCTTAATTTTTTAAAAAATTTAAATAACATAAATTCCTTATAGAAAAGGCAAGAGCCAAAAATCCAATGAACTCTGGTAATTCAAATTGTTATCCAGACGTGGTAAATCTGTTCTACCTTTTCTGGACGAAATACGAACCTGCAAATTGCTATCATTCCATTCCTATGACGGGTGACAGTGAACACTAGACTGCAAAATGACTACAATTTTTTCAACTGAAAAAATAGGAAGTGGATGAAATTGATTTTTTTTTTTTTTTTGGTTTTTTTGACCAACAACGTGAAGATATTTTAATGTGGTAAACATGACAGTTTTGGTCTGTATATTATTGTTTTGAAGTAAAATTATTTAAAATATCCAAGGAAGTTTCCTCGATGCTGCAGAACCTGCAACAACACGTATACGTGTTTGTGCCCTCCATGTCTTATGATCTCTGGACTTTTTCTGTCCTTTCAAATTATTCTTGAAAAGTGACCCTTTTTTTTTGCATCCTGTTTGAACAATTCAATACGGTTTGTCTGGTTGTTTATTGTTGAACCAAAGACCGAAAGAGGACTTTTGGGTTTATTTGCTCTCTTTTTGCTGATCTTTGGTGGCCTTTGAGGATTCTTGATCTGGGTTTTTCTTATTGAGGCCATTCCTCCGCAAAGTTTCAATCTTTTCAATGAGGTAAAATAACTCCTTTCTTTGTGTTTAATTAGGATTATATTTCCCATTTTGTCTTTTTGGGATTGAGTGTAAGCTTGAAGATTGGGGATTTGTATTCCTTGTTTCAGGGTTTGATGAGCAGACAATTTGGAGCGTTAGAGGCTTATAGGTGCGGATAACTTGTTTGTTGCATATTTTGCGAAGAATTCTGTTAGGTTCCTGGTTCCGACTTCTATTGAGGCAGTCTTAAGTGATTTTGATTCGGTTCAGTGTCGCCTTCTTCAGCTCTGATATTGGAGCAATTAAGGAGCTTTTATGTCTATTCTTGTGATTTGACCATTGAAGAAGGATTTTGATGTTGATCTCATATTCATATGTTAGCAAAGTTGACTTAGCAAGTTTTTGGGCTGGATTGACTTGAGTTATATGCGTGCTACATTTTGGATTTGATATTCATAGATAGCTAAAACGTTATGCATCCAGATAGGGACGAGACTGTTGGGAACGGGGAGGCAGGGGAGATCGACGAAGACCTCAAGGAGGATACACCTCTCGGGGGTACCCCTCTCTACCGCCCCCGTTTATCAGGTATGGTGAGACAGAAAGCCTATATATTTGATGGCAAGGGAAAGTATTACAACAAAGATTGGGATTTTGCAGAACCTAAAGAAAATGAGTTCTGTTGGTACCACGTAGAGCTTCCAAAAATTAATCAGAAGCTATCGCTCTTTGCACAAAGCCTCATTGACATTCTTTGCCCTCCTTTGAAACTCCAAGATATTCTGTCACTAGTTAGCAATGGACCCTTCTGTAGTCATGTTGATGGAGCACTTGTGTTCAGAGTTAATTCTCCTGGTCCTCCAACTAGCAATTATACATTTAGATTAGCTGCTAGAGTTACTGAGAATTCGGTGATTACCGTGTCACTAGGACGGGTTCCAAGATTGGGTTTCTCGCCAACAAGTGAATCCCTTCTCTCTCAGATCCCTAGTGTGGAGACCCTTTCAAGTGGTGGGACTCCCTCACATCATGGAGGGGATCAAAATGAAGGAAACGGGATTGTGATTAGAGAGCATGTTCTTGAGTTTTTATTAACAATGAACCACTCAGAGGAGGCTGATAATCCCGTGCCGGAATCTGTCTCAAATCTTGTTGTTCACATTATCGACACCCATCTTGACCACCTTCAAGATATTACCACCAAATTTGAGATGGAACTAGACTCTGTGGAGCTCGAATTAGACAAAGGTAAAATTCCTATATAATGACAGCTTACGGTCCATGTTACAGAATCAAGGTTGCCTTATTTTTTTTTTGTTGTTCTACACTTACCATTTAGATTTATTTTGAGTTAAACACTTTTAGTTTTGTTGCTGAAGATGAAGATGCTTCATATTTCTAGTGACCCTAGAGTGGTAACTTTTTTAATTTATCTGGAAGGTTATTTATATATGCACTTTATGCCATATGTTTATTTAGTAGTTGTGCATCCTTGTTTGGACGTGTTACTTCTGTTATAATTCTGGAAAATTGCAGCCTCTTAGATTCTGCCCTTCTTACAAAATGTAGCAAACAAATGACAAATAGAGATATCAAAACTTGTCGAAAAAGCACTGTGTTGAAATGAAATTTCACAGGATTAATCCTGCATTTGCAAACTTATGGTTTTTCTCTATCAGTATTGAAATTAAATTTTATTGGATATATCACCTATTAAACAGTGAATCTTACCAACTGCAGTTTGCAACTTGGAATGCATGATGTGTTGTTATTTCTGGTGTCATGCTGAACTGATATTCGATATGTTGGCTTACAAGAACATTTTTTGCACATGGTAGAAGGTCATCAAAGCATTGCCAGATTCACTTGTGAAAGGGGAAGCTTGTTGCTAAATGTGCTAAATATGCTAAAATACTATGTGGCAAGCTTCTCTGATAATATGAGAAACAATTTGCAGTTTGAAAAAAAAGAAAGTCAACTTTTTTCCACATTGATGGATCTAAATAAGAGGCCAGGTATAGTAAATTTGGTTATCATGTCCCAGACAATTGTCTAGGGACAGTTATCCTTCTTCATGTGGCATGTCGATTGCTGTGCCTAATTTTTTGAAACATAAAGTCCTTTCGAATACGTGATGGAATCTCACTGTTACCTTAAAATAGATTTTTATTGTCAAAAGTATTGCTTGATGCCCAGGATGTTATTCTTGCCAAACTCCATTTTTTTTTTTTTTGGGGGGGGGGGGGGGAGTCTGCATGAAAGTCTGGATTGTTTGAAAATATATGATAAATCAGCATGTCTATGGACCATCAAAGTACTCAAGAAAACATGATCAGAAACAGCTACATGCCTCTTATCTTTAGCAAAGAATGCATTCCTTTTACTATTTGTCCTGAAACTCAAATTTGATGTCCTTTCTGTTTGGTACATGATTTCTTTTGAATGGAAAGTGTGTGGTGTTTTGATGGTATACTGCAGGAGGTTTTGCACTGAAGAAACAGATGCTTGATGATAGAAGATTTCCCAAAATGCATCTTAATCTTCAACGTATATTGCAGGTAGTTTGTCCACCCTGTTTGGTTTCTTGTAAAGATAAGTTGCTAGGGACATTGCCACATAAGTAGGTTTTTGAGTAATGGTCTCACAAAATCAGTCTGGATAAGGTGCAAAGACCACTCTACTCCAACAGCAGAATGCATGAAGCTTGAAGTCCTTGTTTGGTATTGTATCGTTGAATTCTTTTAGGGGTCTGTATCATAAAAGTTTAAACCACTGCAGTTGGCCAGTGACCATAATGGTTTTCAAGTGCTTTAATTTTATACCAATGGCATCATCTCTGCATGGTGTACAGGAACGCATCCTAGAAATTGATATTTTGGATCGTTTCTAGGATATTTGGAAAATATAAAATCGAAACACATGCATTAAACCTTGTATTTTAACTGAACTCAGGTGATTGCTCATGGGGAGCAAGTATTTCCACGAGTAAAAGAAAAATGTTCTTCAAAAAAATGGTTTTCCAGTGAAGACATAAACTCCCTAGAAGAGTTAATTGGAAGGCTAAGGAGGCTAAAAGAGAATGTGGGGTTTATATCAAATCGTGTCACGGCAATTCAGGCTGGTCTGGATAGCTGGCAGGCTGAGCAAATAAACAAGAAATTGTACTATCTCTCGTTCCTTTCAATAATATTCCTCCCATTGTCAATCATTACTGGAGGTAAACGTTTCTCTCCTGCTTATCGTTTTTTTTTTTGGTCATAGTCACACCTTGGATAAATGTTAGAAGCATCATCTGATACTGCAATCATTTTTGGAAACTCATAACAGTCTTTGGCATGAATGTGGGAGGAGTTCCATGGACAGAGCAAAAGAACCCAGAGGTGAAAGCTGGTTTCCGCAATGTGATGTTTGTCTGTGTGGGAGTGCTAGTTCTCGTGCTTCTATGCTTCCTTTTCCCAGCTCTTTACAGCCGTATAGCTGCCTGGCGACGAATGATTGCTTTGAAAAGAAGCTGGTCTCTCAACAGGAGATCTTTTCTCAAGAGAACTCTTCCAGTTAAAGAGAGAGGCAGTTATGTTCGCCTTTGAGAGAGCAAGCCAAAGGAAGAGGGTGATGATAGAATTGCGGTACACGTTCTCTTCAGTACCAACTTGTTTCCTGTTGCGGAATTTATGTTCACACCTGAAGATACATGTCCCCAAGGAAAACTTCTTGCGCGCGGGGCTTGGATCTGTTTGTTTCCTTGATTCTTGAATTACTCTTGCCTTTCTTTACGATGATCAGGAGCTTGGACGAAAATGAGGGCAGTTAAGTTTAGCTATTTCCTCTATTAACTGAGATGTCTGCATGTGTTCATTCCATGATAATCGGAAATGCACTCTGCAGATTAACAATTGTCAATGATATCGTTGACCCTGGCTCAGAAATGGGAATATGGTAGAAGCACACGATTTTTTTTTTCTTTTCAATCTGGATAATAGACAAGAGTTCTTCGGCGAGCCTTTTCTGTTTCTTATACGACCATGTTGTTAATGGCAGTATCTTTTGTAATCTTTGTAACACACTGCACAGGTATAACATTCATCGTTATAAATTTGTTTATGTTGAGAGTTTGTACTACCGCCTTATAACCTAACACTAACGCCGTGCAAGCCCACAGTGTTTTTCTATTTTCCCCTTCCTGTTCGATTTATTGTTATTCTCGAGTGCTTTCACTGTGGACCATTACAGTGTGCTCCCAAGATCGTCCTTGGCTTATGTGTTGGCAGGGGTAGTTTCGGGTTCTGGTTTCTTTCTTTCAATGATGCTTTATTGCGCCAACGAAAAAACGGTGGGATCCAAGGGTAGAATCGGGTTTTACTTTTTTTGTCTGGCGACATTTCGTTTATGTTTTTCTTGCAATTATCGAACCTAGTCAGGAAGCTCGTTTCAGGTTATATGGTTGATCTGAGATGTACAGGTTGATTCAAATTAAATTGAAAAAATTAAAAATAATATTTAAAATTCTAATATTTTATATATAAAAAAATTAAAAATTAAAAATAATATTTAAAATTTTATTAAAAAAATTAAAAAACAATTAATGTGAATATAAATTATAAATAATGAAGTATAAAATATTATTTCAAAGATTTTAAAAAATAAATAGATTTTATTAAGTTTTATTTTTTTTGTTTGTAACAGTCTTTTATTTTATTGGACCAATCTAGTTATCAAGTTAATTAAATTTTAGATCAAGTTAATCAAATTTTAGATCGACCTCTCAGGCCATCTAGGTTTAATGACTATGGTTTTTTTGAGGACCTTGGCTTGGAGAAGAAAATCACCGTTGCTGCTGCTGTGAGAATAGCTTGGATGTTGGTGGGCAGGCTTGGCATTGCGTCTTCGTCTTCTCGGATGTGTGCTTCTGTGATTTAGCTGCATTTGGCTTTGGTTCTTTCGGGTTTGTCTCCCCTTTCTTCGGCTGCTCTGGTGCGGCTCCCTGCTGAAAGTCGCTGGTGGTTGACTTCTTGCTTCACTTGGGCTTCAATTGTCGCTGCTGGGTGGTTGACTTCTTGCTTCACTTGGGCTCTGTTGTTTCCCTGGAGCTGTCTCTGGGATGATGGGAGCGAATTGTTGCTGCCGTGAGAAGACCTGAGCTTCTAGAACGTGGGACCACATACTAAGCAGTCCAAGGACACCCGTTGAAATTCGTTCGTCCATCACTCAGCTCTTATAAAAAGCTGTGATCCCATACCCAATTTTCTATTGCACGTTCGTCCATCACTCAGCTCTTATAAAATGCTGTGATCCCACCAATTTTCTATTGCATTGCAAGGTTTGGTGTTCTTTAGGCAACATGCTCAAGTGCTTGTCCTTTCTTGTTTCACATTTGCCCGTTCTTTCTTCTATTTCTGAAACAAATCATGATCTTGAATCCAACCCAGACCAATCCACACAAGCGAACTACTCAGATCAAACCAGATGCTCTCATGGCATCCAACAAAACTCGATCATGATGTCCAATACCTCACCTGACCCTTCACCTTCTTCGGTAGCAACAGCAAGGACCTCAACTTTGACTCAAACATCAACACAGGAAAGCCTCGCCGATGAGAAGCCGCCTTTCCATCGAATAATCGAAACACTTAGACAGCAAGAACTAGGCAGGCATATATTAATCCTAGGAGTTCCCATGACCATCGGATTGTTCTCTGCAGACAACCTGGTTAACAAGCCTTTAGCACTGCGCGTGATAGCGGTTGCACTTGCTTTAGGCTTTGTGGGGATTTGGAATGGTATTTTGCTCCGAACAACTTACAATGAAGCATCAAACACGATTGAGTTGCTGGGGATAGCATTCATGTTGTTAGCCTTTTTTGCATTCATTGCTTGTTTTCTGCCGGAGAGTCTTATTTGGATCCCCTCCCTTTGCTGGGTTCTGTCAATTCTTCCACTTGTGATTGCCCTTTGCTCCACGGGGAGGGCCAGCAAAGATAGGGATTCCAACAACAGACTACCTTGTCCACACTAGTGCGATGTCTGATTGGATTAGCTGTGAAACACCCTTTGTTGATTACACTTGTGTATAACATATATATGTATATGTTTTTTTTTTTAAGTAACCTCTGTATTAGTTCTCTGTAGTTCATGATGTGTAGTGCGCAGGAATAATTTGGATGGCATCGAAAGATTTATTGCCACAATTTGGCATGTTTTATTATTTCTTCATACAGTAAAATGGAGTCATTCAATGTTCTACTTTTATCCTTATAGTTTGAGTTATCCCTAAATGATCATTCTAGCTAGGGGCTAGCTATTTGGCCTCGTTTTTTTTAAAAAAATAAATTTAAAGTATGCATCAAAAAGCTCATACAAGTAATTATCTATCTAAATAAATAAAAAAGTTTATTAATAATAAATAAAAAATATGAAAAAAATTAAAAAATAGATGTAGATTAAAATAAGGTGGATCATGCGAGTTGGATTGTTAATTTGTAGAGAGAGAAGAGAGGAGACTGATTGCATGCTTGGCTTGGCAGTGTGGAGATGTTAAAAAGGAAGGAAGCATGCTTGGCTTGGCAGTGTGGAGATGTTGAAGAGGAAGGAAGGTGACCGTCACTGCTGTTTTTTTGGTTTGTGAGGGGGGCTGCTGTGCTTGAATTTACTGTGAAACAAGATGGGGACTCCTGTGTTTTTTTATGAAAAAGGATAAAGATTCATGGCTGTTTCTGGTTTTGTTTTTTCAAAATATTTATTTTTTTATTTTAAATTAATATTTTTAAATTATTTTAATATATTTTCAAATAAAAAATATTTTAAAAAATAAACTTAATCAAACCCCTATGTTTTAGGTAACTTTATGTTTTATGTCGAAGAAGGCTGGATTTTTGTTCTAAATTAATCAGTATAAAAGTTGGGTTGCTTTTGACTCTTTTTTTTTTAATAATTCATCATAATTTACAAGAGTTCAAATCTAATATAAATATTAAATTTTTTTATTTGAAAATAAATTAAAATAATATTTTTTATTTTTAAAAATTTATTTTTAATATCAGCATATTAAAATATTATAAAAAAGTGAAAAATAATCATTTGAATCAAAGAACAAATAATTTTTTTTTTTCAAAAAATTGTTGAAACGTCAGAACAATTGAGAGCTTTTCGTGTTCGAGACATTATCAACCAATAGAATATGTATTTCAAAAAATATAGACCAATTAAATTTTTTTATTTTTTTATTTTAATAATTAGCTAGAAAAAATGTTAATAATTTTTTATTATATTAAAGTAAGATACGTTACAAGGGTGATATTATTTTTATTCCACGGTCTGGTGCGTGGGAATGGCAAGAAGCAATTAAAGAACGCTTATGTGATAAAAAAGAATAATATAGCCGGGGATTCAAAAGGATCAGATCTTCCGAGCATTAATGGAGCTACCATGAAGGTTTTTATTGTTGGCAATCTCTGGTTGATAATAATATGCTGAAAATTACAGCTTCCTCAACGGGAAACACAAGTGATCATAGGAATATGCGGGGAAGGGAATATAATCCTCTTGATCCTGGTATCTGTCATGATAGTGCTCTTCCAAGGACTATATCTTCTAGTCAGCAACCGACGGAGGGTTTGAAGGATGATCTATCTAAGCAGTTAGCAATTCATCAGAAGGTAAGCTCGTGGGTGGACAAAGGGATGGCGATGGATGGATGTAACACGCCAGTGATATTGTGGAAAGCTGCTTCTACTATCTATCCTTTTATCATGATTGTTTTACTGACTGCTCTATTTTCGTGTATGGAATGTACGAGGTGCTGCTAATATGAATAGCAAGAGACATTGCAAAGAGTTAATATGCAAGTACCATCCTTCTTTGGTTTTTCTACTTGAAACTAATATCCAGTTTTGCTAGAGCCTCTAATTTCTGGATGCTGCTAGCTAGGTTATTCGCCTGCAGCAATTAGGGAGGCTAATGGTCATTCGGGAGGTATCTGGGACGTCCTTATGACGGGGAGGAACCATCATGAAGGCTTTTAGCTAGAGAGATGATTTTGTCTACGGACTAGGCGCTGGTGATCTTTCATTATGGCATGATAAATGGTTCGAGGAGGGAATTTTAGCAATCTTGGTCCCGGTAGTTCATATCACAGATACAGTAGTAAGGGACCTTGGCTCCATGATACTTGGGGATTTTCAACATTTAGCTACATGCCAGACCACTTGAAGAATCGCATTATTACACCCCATCCCTAGGAATGCTACGATCAAGGACTGTAATGTTGCTTGGTGTCCATCCGTGGCAGGATACGTCAAGGTCAGCTTACAACTAGTTGTTATTTCGATCTAGGTAGCTAATGTGTTGTACTAAATGGACTTGGCTGTTAAGGTTACATGCTCCAAAGAAGACAAAAGTGTTGATATGGCTTGTGTTTCGTAGTAGTTTACTAATGAAATCTCTTCGTTTGCTCGACAAATAGCCACGAGTCCTTCATGCAACAGATGTCACCTTCCAAGTAAGGATGCCTTTCATTGGCTTTAGTACTGTAACATGGGTTTTGGTGTGTTGAAGTTACTCGCTGGATTGTTTAATTGGCTTCATCAGATAGTACTCACTCGTTTTTTAGTGTGCTTTGGTGGTTACGGAGGCTTTAAAATATTGTCATTTTTAGCACTGCTTATGGAGGAGAGATTTGGCTGCCAAGGAAGATTGATAGATTGGCTGAAGACTCTGGTTTAACATGGGAGGATAATAATGCTAGAGCTACTACTCATCGAGTTTTATCATGGCAACGACTTGAGGATGATTTTATCAAGCAAGATGTTGACGGTAGCTCTCTAGGAAACCCAGGGAAAGCTGGTTTGGGGGGCCTAATTAATTCGCGATAGAGAAGGCTTGTTTGTGGTGCGCTTTACCATTATTGTTGGCTTTGAAGCGTGGTCTTTCTTTAGCTTGGGATAAAGGTTATAGACGGATTCTCTGTAACTCTGGCTCCATACGGTTGGTCACAAAGAAACGAGTTAGAGGTGTATTTGGTCCCCCTACTCTCAAACTATCACATTTTGATCTTACTATATATTTTCTCATATTTTCATCCCGTAAGTCCTTATTTGTAACAATTTGGTCCTTGTGTCAATTTC